TGAATCAATCATGGAAGGTAGAAATTAAGAACAGGATACAAAACATGTTACTATGTTTAGTATCGGCAAAATACAGTGCATATTTCAAATCAAATCAAATACATTTCTCATCTTTTGGGCTCAATCCCGAGTTGCATGGTAGCCTGTAATCTTAAAAAGAATGACTTTCCTATAAATCAATAATCAGACAATAAAATTAGAAGCTTATTATGTAAGAGTTAACACAACAAAAGAAGAAACATGGCATTAAGCTCCTCCAGTATAACCTATGAAGCACAAATACTTTTACAAGAGAATTTGTTTCCATATCATACAAATCACATCTCAATACAAAAAAGAAAAAGACAACAAAACGGGAAAAACAATAAATTACTAAAACTGAACCAAAAAATAAAAAAACACACAACATCAAATGCCCTGACAGTGACAAAAAGTGAATCTTATCCACCAAAAAAGGAGAAAATATCAATTTAACCACAGTTTCTAACACAGAGAAGATCCTTCCAAATAGAAAGAAATAAAGATTGAGAACCAACAAAGCAATTGATGTTAAAGAAGATATACTGTTTTAGGCAAAAAATACACAGATACATCTACAGACTCTATGTTCTATGCTTCCAAGATTTTGTTTTGTCCACACAAAGTAACATGAAAGCGAATGTAGCTTAAAACAGAAACAAGCATTAATCTATTTATTTATAAGCAGCAATTAACAAAGCCAAAGATTGATTTCAAGACTACATAAATCCGATCGACTAATTACAATCAAGCAATGATGAATTCAAATCAGATGTAAAACCCAACCATAAATCTAATCCGATCATCGTTAACTCATAAAAAAAGTTGATTATCTTCTCCCTCATGCAGAAGTTCTACTTTCTTTTAATGTAATGTAAATCTTCTTTGTCTTCATCTTCATATCTCTTCAATATCCACATGCCATTTGCGTGCCATGTACACTGTTTGTTGCTTGAGCTCCTCTATTTCTGAAAACAGACTACATTTATTTATTAACATAGCTATTCATCACAAGAACCAATGACTTGCTTTGCATTGCATTTCCTAACCCATATACACAGCCCAGATAATATCTTTTTTAGTTTGGCAAGCCTATACTTAATCAACAATGCTAAAAAACACATAAACCAAGCATAACATTGGATACAAAAACATATGAATAGATAAAATTTTATAAGATTTATTCATAGGATCCAATTCTCAAAAAATCAAATTCATCTATTTGTTTTCTTTTTATATCCGGATACATGTTTAGTTTTTGTGTTTCTGGATATTGATACTTACCACCAATCATTTCTGTTTTCAAATTTATTTCTCTCTTGGTTTATTTGTAAGCATTTTGATCATATTTTAAAATTTTCAAATAAATCTAATGATTTTGATCAAATTAAAGACCCCCCCAAAAAAAATAGAAACATCCTTGGCAAATTTACTTCCATATATACCATAGCCCCGTCTCTCCTTGGTCCCTTCGAATTGAGAAATCCATTCACAAATCACAAAAAATTTTCAATGCACACTATTTTCTATTGTTTGGATATAAATTTTTTAAATAAAATCAAATGTCTGGACATAAACTTATAAACAAAAATGAATTGTTATAATTTTGTTCAATTGATTATATCTTAACAACTCTTTTTGTCATAAATTTATGTCGGAACGTTTGACTTTTATTCAAAAATTGACACATAGAAGATCCTTCCAAATAAGAAAGAAATAAAAGATTGAGAACTAACAAGCAATTGATGTTAAAGAAGATATACTGTTAGGCAAAAATACAACAGATACATCTACAGATTCTATGTTCTATGCTCCTGATTTTGTTTTGCCACACAAAGTAACATGAAAGTGAATGTAGCTAAAACAGAAACAAGCATTAATCTATTTATTTATAAGCAGCAATTAAACAAAGCCAAAGATGATTTCAAGACTACGTAAATCCGATCGACTAATTACAAATCAAGCAATGATGAATTCAAATCAGATGTAAAACCCAACCATAAATCTAATCCGATCATCGTTAACTCAAAAACTAAGGAATACATGCAAAAGTACTTTTTTTTTTCCATTCATAACCAGGATAGGCATATGAAAATGTTATGATATAATGAATTTTTTGAAAAAAAACCAATCAATTTTCAGGTTGCAAACTAGACAACTCTCAATTATTAAAGAAAAGACAGAGAACACAAACAGTTCACTTTGAGGAAATGCAACTTCAGTGGTAGATACAGATCTTACTTTTGAAGATCCAAAAATAATGGAATTGTACCACACCAAAAATAAACAACATACATCGTAATTACTAAGTAATTCATAGAAAATAGATTTAAACCACACGAGTAATTAGACTAGGGAGTACTGAAATATACAAACACACAGAAATAAACCCAAGAAACATCTGATTTTTGGAAATCGTCTTACTTTGACTTAAACTAAGTCAACCTTTTAGAGAAGAAAAAGTTTACATTCATGAGTCATTATCCATAGTGGCTGTCCAGTGATTTTAAATTCTCAAGGCACACCAAAGGGGCCAGATTCAGGCGTAGGCGCAAGGTGAGGCGCACCTTTTTGGTAAGAAATAGATAAACTAATAATTCAAACTTGAACAAAAGCAAAATGAAAGAACACAGGTAAATTGTAGAAGAATTCTCAAAGCCATAAAAGCCACATGTCATTCCAAATGCAAAATAGTCAACATTTAACAAAACTAATAATTACTAGCTTTACTCTAATAGTCATTCTGTATCAGATTTTATTGTCCTTAGATAATCAGAAGCAATCCTGTTTTGAGGTTGAAGGCCTCGATGGAACCACCAAGGCTGACTGAGGGGCTCACAAATAGCAAACAAGAGAGCATAATAGGAACTCAAAATGGGTCTGATCTGTTCAATGAAATGAAACATCAGTTTCTGAGTTTCAAAAGGCAGAAATTCCTGTAAGCAAGCTTATAATTCTGACATCTTGTTGTTTAGCTTCACAGAAAATTGAGTGTCCCTAATGTGATGTTTTCTTTGAACAGGGAGAACTTGGAATGCTATGAAAATCTTGCCAAGAGTCAAGCACCGAAGGTATGATGGGTTTTTTAGGGTTAACTTTTTTTTAGTCCATGATATATTTTGGAGCCATCTGGGGATTACATTGGCAATTTGCCTCAATTTTGTGCTGAACTGGTTAAGATTTTCTTAACTGATGCTTGCAAGAACAGTTCATGGTCATTGCTTGTGCAGACTCTAGGGTTTGTCTCTCCTACATCCTAGGATTTCAACCCAGAGAAGCCTTTGTAGTCCGCAATGTGGCAAATCTGGTGCCCCTATTTGAGGTACCATATACATTGCATTTGTGTTTTCTTGGCTTTAGTTTAGTACTACTAGTTCTTCATTTATTGTAAGCATAAATGTGGGAAAACGGAAATATATGGTTGTGATAAGTGTATTAGAAGCAAAATTCTGAATAGGCCTATGCTTTTTTATCTTCTGATGCAGAATGTACCAACAGAAACAAATGCTGCCCTTGAATTTGCCGTCAATTCTCTAGAAGTAAGTGACTTCTGTAGACAAATCTTCTGCCAAGTTGCTTTATTCTTTGTCAACCAAGGCAGAAAAAATGTGTAGTTACTATTGGTTGCTTATGGTCTGCACATTGACTGGGACTGCAGCTGACATGTTAGGAATTCAAAAATCTGAAAGAATTTGACATCGTGTGTCATTCAAAAAAAAAAAAGAAGAGATAAAGTAAGAATAAGTTTGGAGAAAGGGAATTGTCTGCAAAAGTATAGCAATTAGTAACCAATTATGAAGCTTATGTTCTCATTCTGGAGTTGCTTACAGTGGACTATGATATAGTTGCAATAATGAATAATCTGGAATTGCTGATTCATGATTAAAAAATATGTCTCTGTGTTTCATGACTAAGTCACTAATACCGTACACAAATATATTAGATGACTGGAATTGCTGTAATTGACCTCTTGATATCAATGTGTCAAACAAATTGGCCACTCTATTTGGCGACAAACTTTGATGGGAAAACATTTTGGTAAATATAAAGTTTTCTACAGGTTGAAAATATACTAGTCATTGGCCACAGCTGCTGTGGAGGTATTTGTGCTCTTATGAGCATGCAAGATGATGTAAATTCAAGGTTTGGCTAATTCCAATCTTTTCTATTTTTCATCTCTCTCTCACTCTTACACATGCGCGCAAGTAAGCCAGCAAGCGCACATTATACAAGAAATCATTTGATTTTTTTTTTTTCCAATTTCAAGGAAGCTGTGAGCTGTCAGTATTGCAAAGGTAAATTCCTTTTTGGTTTATGCTCTCAGGGATATTTTTTTTCCTTTGGTTTATGCTCTCGGATTTGGATTACCTTTATCATACCATGGATTTTTTGCATCTAGTATGTTGGGGCACCATACTCTTGTGATATCAGCTATGAACCATTTCTTGGGCTTGAGGTTTGTTCCTATTTTCTTTTCAATTTTTGCTCCTTTTGAACATCACAATGTATGTTAGTGAAATGATGACTCCAACACATCTCCGAATCTGATAAACATATTTTGGTTTGATTTGAAAGTCATGCTGAAAGTACTATATGGTTTTATTCTTGTTTTATTTTTAGAGATGGTTCTTTTTTAAAAAACAAAAAAACAAAAAACAAACTGTAATTTGAAAGTCATGCTGAAAGTACTATATGGTTTTATTCTTGTTTTATTTTTAGAGATGGTTCTTTTTTTAAAAAAAAAAAACAAAAAACAAACTGTTATTTCATTTATTGGTAGCCTAGTTTAAATGAGAAGTGAAAATACATTCCACATGATTCTCATGACTTTGCTTGTTCATTTACCTTCTGATTGAAAGATCTTGTTATCCTCATGGGTACTTCAGTTATAGTGGGCAGTCCTTCTTCTTGATTATTTATGAGCAAATGAAGATATGCTGACTATATTTACAATTGCGAGCTTATAGGGGGCAGTCCCTCTTCTTGATTATTTATGAGCAAATGAAGATATGCTGACTATATATACTTTAGCTATAATAGTCAGCTTGATCTTCATCCATAACAAATGATGGGTATGTATGCAGATTATCAACCCATAAGAAGCTGGATCATAAGAAGCTAGATCATCTCATAAGAATGTGGCAAATGGATATATTATGAGAATGACTTTGTTTTGGATATATTTGTTGAGATCGGAATGGGGCAAATGGATCATTGTGAGAATGACTTTGAAGCAGATATGCTGAAAGATACCGCGGATTATTATTCTCGAAAGGCTTCAAACTGGATCTTGGAAGATTCCTGTCCAGATTATATGTTGAAAGTAAACATCTATTCATTTTCTTTTTTTCTTGTTAAGGTCAGATATATTTGTTTGATAATCCTATATAATTTCTAAAAAATCCTTTTGTAACTCTAGGTTGAGGAGTGTTTGAAACGAGAGAAGGATAGGGTTGCTCATTACCTACATTCTAGTAGCGAGCTGAAGTTGCTTGAGGTTTGTTCTTCCTCTTGTAAAGTCATACTAAATTTCTTTCTACCCAATAATAATTAGTCTTTTAATGGTTACTTTTATTTATTTATTTATTTTCAGGCCAATTTTGAAGATATGCACTTTCGCTGTTATAATTATGGGTAATTTTGTCTTCCTATAGAAAGTTCAACATGAATTGTTGTCCGTTTATGCAACCCAATTGCTCGAGCAGGAGCACTCTAGGTGTCATGCATTGCTTAGGGATGACAAGGTAGTCATTTGGACCATTTTTTTTTATCAGACTTGGACAATGTTATTATTCAAGCCTTTTTGCTGTTATTTCAGTTGCAATTAACTAAAGTTTATTAACATTTTTTTCCTGTTCTCTTGTAGGTAGAGGATTTATCAAGGATGTATAGGCTCTTTTCCAAAATACCTCGAGGTTTAAATCCAGTTTCTAGTATATTTAAACAGGTTTTGGTCTTTAACTTGCAGTACATTGTTCTGTAAAGAATGTAGCATTGTGCCTCTGGTATTATTTGTTTCTTCCCCTTCTTTATTTTGAAGTTTGGCTGGGTTTTTCTTTATGCAGCATGTTACTGCTGAAGGTACAGCATTGGTTAAACAAGCAGAAGATGCAGCCAGTAATAAGAAGGTGATGTAATCTTGATTGTGTTATTTCAGATCCCATAGGTGATGTTCTTGGGGGACTGCCACCAGCCATGGCGGTAAGCATCTGTGTCCAGCTCTATTTTTTTTTATTTACTATACTTGTTTATTTGCTACTATAGTTGAATCATCTTCTTGCTTAGTTTTGTGGTAAATTGGTAAAACATTTAGGATGATGAATTTTTAACTGATCTGATTTCTATGCCAAATCATCATCTAGGGCAATGGGCATTGTGTTATGGCAGTTTCCCCACGTTACGACCAGTACAAAGATGCATGGGATACTCATTGACCAAGGTTGTTCACTTAAAATTTTTCTTTCTTTTCCTTTTTTTATTTTATTTCCTCTTTTCTGGGTGGAAAGAACATATCTACTCTTGTATATGTCTTAGTGATAATCTTTTCCAATTTTATTTCTGGTTCTAATGCTAAGAAGTGTCCTGGTACAGGCAGATAAGAAAGATGTGGTTGGTCTGCACGAACAGGTAATGTCAAATTCTTATAGTACTTCACTTCTAGGATTTGTCAATGGATTCTTGGTATGGGAACTGACTAACCTGTGGGGCCTTCAGGTTTTTGTTAGAAAAGTTATCAAGCTTCATGACAAGTACATGGCGTACGTAAATAACTGTTTTATGAACCATACTCTTTTCCACAAGGTTTGTATTAAACAATTGCTGCATAGTCGTGGTTTCCTTCCTATTATTCATGTATTAAAATCTCCTTTGTTTGCCTTAGGCACTCAAAGAGGCTTTTGAAGTCTTCTGTAACAAAGTTGTTGGTGGAAGCTCAAGTGCAGAACTACTAGCCACATTTTGTGATAAGATTCTTAACAAAGAACCAAACAACAAAACAATCTCTCCACCGAATCCACATTAGTGTGCTTTCTATTCCTTTTTAATTTTTTTGGGAAAATTACACTTCTTGACCATTTTGATTTTAATTGATGTATTTAAAATCTGAATTGTTTCTATTCTTAGGTATGCAATGCATTGTTTTTTATTTTTAATTTTGTTTTCAAGTTTAGTTTATTTATTATTTTAATAAACGTCAATTATTAGTTCTTGATAATTGTTTGACATGTATTTTTTTTGTTCAACCATATTAAATTAGCACAATTTAAAAATTAAAAAAAAAAGGCTGTGGCGGCGTTTAAAAAACGTCACTATATCCCATTCTAACGGTTAGATTTTAAAATGTATAAATGTCTATGATGGCGTTTTCAAAAACGTCGCTAAATGTCCATAGTAACGTCATAATACAGCTAGGTGGGACATTTGGCGGCGTTTTTAAAAATGTTGCCTATACTAATATAACGACGTTTTTCAAATGCCAAAACGCCATAAAGTTATAGCGACGGCCGCGTCGTCGGCGTTTGGTATTAAACGTTACAAAAAGAATTAGCGACGTTTTTAAGTAGATTTTCCAGCAGTGACTTGAAAGAGAAGAGGGTGATGTTGAGGAAGTTGATGAATTTTCAAGGTTACAGACAGAGCTCGTTCGGATTAAAGGATTTGATGAGAAAAGAAAGAAAATGGAGAGAAAGATGTGCAACTTTTTAGGGCTTATATTGGTAATAATAGTTTTTTTTTGAATTTTTTATGTTCATGTAGTATTTTAATATCTTTTTACACCTACTTCATGCACTGTAAATCTTGCATTATCAGAAAAAAGTGTAGTGAAAAATTTAATGGAGGTATTTAGAAGCTTCTAGAACTATTTATGTAATTATGTACAAATATTCAACACTCTCAATTATTTTGGAATGTTTTGGATTGTTCCACTATTCTTCAATTTTTTGCCTCTTCTCCTTGGTAGACAGTTCTGTCTAAACAAGTGAGTGTTGGAAAAATGGTTTAATATAGGTATATTTTTTAGCCCAATTTTAAGTGGGCCCCAAACGTCTTTTGGGGTGGGTCCAAAGAGGTGAAGTGTTTGGGGGTGGGTCTGAAGAAGTGAAGTGTTCCTTGCCGTGTGGCAAGTCACACGGTGAAGATGGTTCGTCAAAACCATTTATGAGTGAATGGAATATGACGTCGTTTTTGGGTTCGTGGAATTCACGGTGAAGACGGAACGTCAAAATCATTTTTGAGTGAATGTGAAGTTGACGTCGTTTTCGGGTCTAACATTATTTTTTAGATAAAATTCATTTGAATTTTTTCAATAAAAATTATTATGGGATTTTAATTTATATCTAAATTCAATTTTTGGGTTCTTAAGTGGTTTCTTAAAGTTTGTACTTCTTTATTTATTAATTAAACTATTCAAATAATTTAATATATAATTTCCAAACAGTTTTTTGATATTTTTCCACCTTTAGCATTTTTGATTAAATTATTCAAATAGTTTAATAATAATTTATATCCCAACAGTTCCTTATGCATTTTTGATTAAACTATTCAAATAGTTTAATAATAATTTATACCCCAATAGTTCCTTATGACTGTTCCACCAACGGTACAATTTTCAAAAATTTGAAAAAATGTTCCAAGATGCAACGGACAGATTCGGTTTTATAACTGTAATGAATCTGTTTGAAATTTCAGAAAGTATTTGTTGACACTTGTTACACCTGTTCAGTCTAACAGCACCTGTTCGGGGCTGTGTAATTTTGCCTATAAATACAGCCATGATTCCAGCAGTCTAAAGATTGAAAAATCAGTCTGCAAAATCCCATCTTTGCTGTCCAGATTTTATTTTGTGCATTATTCTGTCTATTTTCTTTGACAACTAGTAGTACGATACTGGTGTCATTAACAATTTAGAATATATTTTTGTGAAATTTTTTCAGAAATTAATTTTGAGTTTTAGAAATTATTTTCTGAGTTTTGATTATTTAAAATTCTGTTTTAGTATTTTAATTATTAAAGTGTTACCGATTAATTTTGTGTGTAGAATTAATTTGGTTAAATAAAATTTTATTTTATTTCCAAATTAATTGAAAAATAAAAGTTATTTTCTTATTTTTTTTATTTTACAGAATTTAATTTCCTGTGTGGAATTAATTTGGTTGAATAAAATTTTATTTTATTTCCAAATTAATTGAAAAATTACATTCTTGTTTTTTTTTATTTTTATAGAATTTAATTCTGTGAATTTGGATCAATTATAATTTTGTTTTATAAATTAGAATTCATGGCTACTGAAACTGGTCAAACTAATGCCCGAACAAGTACTAGTGTGGTGGCTACAATTGCGCCAACCCCTCCTGTTGTGACAGTATTGGTAAATCACAGTGAGAAGCCAGAGAAGTTCTCAGGAACTGATTTTTAAAGATGGCAACAGAAAATGTTGTTCTATCTTACAACTCTGAACCTGACTCGTCGGACACTGGCAAGCTTTGTAATCTCTACAGGACATGATTGAAATGGTGGGGTGAGGATATCACAATATAAATCATCCAGAATCCCAATATTTGAAAACAGCTGTGACTGGTGTTCTTGTTGATATTTGGACCATCCATGTCCATCCTGGACTGTGTTCCCTGCATAGAACCCAAAGTTCGAAGAAAATGAATCAATCTCCCATGATTCTCCCCCATCTGCTTTCCCATAAAAATGAGTATGTTCACCCATGTTCATTCCTTCCTTAGTCTCAAAGCCCTTAGAAAAACTATAGTTACCTGAAACCCCACCAACATTGAAATGCTCAAAAGAGAATTTTATTCATTCCATAAAGTCGAAAATAATGCAAAATTTTCAGTATTTGGTTTCTCAAATCATAAGTGTATTTCTAGCAGTCCTACAGATATAGAAATTCCAGATCTTTTACAAAAATACAAGGTTTTTTACTTATCTTGCAAAGGACTCCTTGATAAAGACCATTTTCCAGTGAATTAACATGGATTGACATAGTCTCCCACCTAGTTAAGAACATCACTGACAGTTGCTTTGATGTTGATGTGTTCAATGTCATTGCTGGACCAACACTTGGATTCAAAGAACAATGACTAAATGAATGTTGTATTGATTTGCTAGCCACAAAACAAGCATGTTAAATTTTCCTAGGTAGATTTTTTTAATGTTATAACCAAGTATAGGAATCAAATCCAATGTTGAAGGAGCAAGGTCAAGTTGAAATTTTGTGCGTGTGAGGTTTTAGGAAAATGCTAATGACAGCAGCTGTCAATAACGTTGGTAGATGTGTAAAAAATGTATAAAAATATGTAAATTTGTTTTGGGATATGTAAAAATTGTATTGAGATTCTAACTTCTTTGGCATTTTCTTCTTATTGGCACAGTCTACAGGCTGTCGTTAGTATGACCCAAATTTTTAATCAAAACTTCTAAAAAAAGTCACCCAGCTACAATAGACAAAATTCATGCATTTTTTTTGTCACCAATAATGTAAAAATAGAAAATTAAAATTAAAAATATATAGATAATTTTCATTCATTTGAAGCATTAAAATCTCAGCTCCAATCAGCTGAGCCAAATACAATAATTTAATATAAGGATTAATATCCTTTTGTCATTACATAAAAACTAAATGAACAACAGGAATGGTGGAAGCACAAGATTTGAAGGTTCTATTATCTTCTCTTATAGTTTAATTTTAAAGGAAATTCCATAAATGAACAAAAAAGGTTGTCACAGACGAGCACAGATATGTAATAAGAAAATAATGTACAAAAAAATAAGAAGATGGGACGTGCTCAGAGAAAGCTTCATAGAACTTGGGTTTGCTTGTAATGGGTTGATAGGTTAGGTGAGTGTCCAAGAGTGTTGCGGCTTGAAGACAGGCATCATTAATGACAGCATCACTTTGTTACTCGCACAAATCTACTTCTTTGAGTATGTTGCATCAGAATTAGGACATGTGTTTTACATTACACAAACTTGACATATTTAACCCTAATTTGATCCTGATGACTTTTAGTCTTAAAAGTTTTGAAAATCAGGCCAGAAAACCCTACTCCAAAGGACTCAAAGCCCGCCTGCAAGCTCTGCTTGAAAGTCGCCTTAAGCTCACTCAACAGAAGCAATGTATCCTGCAAGCCCTGCTTGAAACTCGCTTGAAGCTTTCTCAATAAAAGCAAAGTTTTGTATTCCGCATAGATCCTAAGAGTTCTACTCTAAGCACACTCTTGAAGCCCACTCGAGCATAATGGTGTCGGCAATAAAAGCTTAAGATCATGTGAGCCCCGCTCGAGCGCACCTACGGATGCCAGTTCAATTAGGTTTTAACCTTTGTGCTTTTTATAAATACCAACTTGTTTTCTCTTGAAAGAACTTCTACATACATTGAGAGAAAGAAATCTAGAGCTATAAAAGTTCTAACAGTTTTATCGAACCCATTGTTTTCAATCAATTGAGATAAACCTTAAGATTTTTTTAATCACATAAATTGTTTCATAACAGAGTGTTTTGAATAAAAACCCACACATAGTTGCACTGCATACCTATCCTTGGTCTTTGGAGTAACGGAGCCGTGAGGAGTAGAATCAGAGCAACTAGCAACTAGAATCGTAGTGCTATCAGATCAAGTTTTCAGAGTCATGAGGAGTGGAGAATGAACGTCGAGTTGGTAGGTTTTCGAAGGTAAATTTCGGGCAAGGAATGCGCGTTAGGAGATAAATTCCGGATGTAGAATTTTTGTGGGATAAAATTTGTCATGGAACCTCTTTTCGCTTCGGTGAATCTTCTTTTTAAAAGGATTTCATTTTTTAAAAGGATTTCATTTTATGTTAGCGTATGTGTAATGGATTTTGATTTAGTCTTGTCTGGATTTTGTATCTTCTCTCTTTTTTTAATTTTCATTGCAGAAGATGTCTCATTCTTATTTTTGTGGGAGATTTTTTTTAAGGTCCCTAATATTAAGGTTTTATAGTATAAAGGATATTTAATATTTTCATAATATTTAAAGTCCCTCAACATCGATTCAGAGAAAATTCGATTGAAAGAAAATTACCAAATCTAGCAAAAATTCAAGGGTAATCCAGAGAAAATTCAATGATAATCTAGAGAAAATTGTCAAATCCAGAGAAAATTCAAGAGTAATCCAGAGAAA